CCTCCTAACACGGTTAGCCTTGAATTTTCTTGCACATTACCTATCCTAATGTGATCTGTTTGATGTTCTTTAGCGATATTAGTGGAGACCTCATAGAAAGCGGTGAGTGTGCAAAGCTGTGTTCAAAGTGATTGAAATCTTGGTTTGGAGTTTCTTTGTTTGGTTATGGAGGCGTCTGGCCGAGTAGATTGCTGTCAACTTGACCTTTCCAGGCTCTGAAGAAGGCGAAATCCGCCGAAACGTCAGCTTAATCGTGAACAAAGAATAGTAACACCTCGCGTTTGCTCAACAAAAATACGAAGAAAATCACATGATCAATGCCGAGGTTAATAGAAAGTCGGTCGTGGCAGTTACTGAAATCAAGATTTTTATTACATGTGTAGACAAGGTTTGATACTTGACGAACCCAGTCGCTCCGTAGTGCATAACACCTCCATAGTCGTATGTCAAATTGTAGTTGTAGTTGGTGTGATTGGTTTCCTTGGAGAACTGAGTTATCCAATCGGCCTGAAATGTCTTTCCTACTGATGCCGATCTACCAACGTGAGTCAAAGTCTAGCAAGGTCATCTTAAATCGACCTTGAAGTTCTCCCAATAAAGTTTGATGAAATCGTCGCGATCGTATCTCGACTGCATATGGAAGAAACCCAGTGCGTGGGCGATTTCATGTGCAGCGGTTCCAATCTGCGTAAAATGAATGTTGCTCGACTCAAAAATATCGTATTAACTACCGATTCAAAAGATGCTTCGCGAAATAATTCAATGCTAGTGGTAAGGAAAACTTTGTAGCTCATACCGTCTCGCATCCTTTGCCCAGAGACAAACCTTGCGTACCTCCAGTTCTTCCAACGTGTGACCAACATCCAGTCTCCTTGATAACAAGGATCTTATTTGAAGCTTAAATTTACATTTCTAATGGCCTCTAAAAATTCGAATTTTTGGAAATACGGGTTTTTGATTTCGTCGTACCATTACGGTCTTCTGTGAATTTAATGCATGTTAAGCTCTGCCAGAGTAGAGCGGCTTTTCTGAATACTCTTTTCGCTGCATCTGCTGAAAATAATGGAACAGTTGAATATGACTAGTTGTCAGTGCTTCTAGTCTTAAACGATTTTTTTACAAACCATAAAATTGCTAAGTAAAAACAAAATGAATGACGATTAGTAACAAGACGAACTTGTGTTCGAGTGGAAGGCGTAATACACTCCATCAGACCACAAAGTTTTAGGATACCATTTGTCTCGATATGCTTGTCGTTTCCGGTGTTTGGCTTCACTTTCTTTAACATCTTCTAAGACTTCCTCAACTTGTTCTCTGGAAAAAACTACCAATAGCATGAGAAATCAAGTTGACATTGGCCAGAAATCTTTGGAAGAACGAACCTAGTGAGCAGCATGTCTCCTTGAAACAGAGCTCTGTTAATTTTGCTTTTCTCATTGATTTCTTCAATTGCATCAGCAATGTTGTCCTTTCTGGTTTCCGAGTAATTCTAAAACTCGAGCTCACTTTTCTGTTGGCCCCCGAGAACATGCGCTTACCTCTATTGCCTCCTGTAATTCAACTTCTCGCTCAGGAGATAGAGTGAGTTTTTGTTTGATTTCTGGCTCTATCTTGTGTAAATGCTGAAGAAGCTTCTTTGTGTCATCTGCATTCGGCTCCTAGGGAAGGAGACGATTGTGAGGCAGCCACAGTAGCTTCATGCTGTGTTTTATAGACGAGATTTTTTGGATATTCTTACGTCTTTGAGCAACTGGTATCCCTCTTCCAGCTCTTCTTCGAAGTTCTCATCACTGGCCGATGATTTGCTTCTCGACTTACGACTATCAAATAACTCGGCTCTGGTGCAGAAGACCGTAAACAGTAATAGTGAAATGTTCATATTAAAACGAGATTATAGAGAAGTGGATCTTCGCAAACGAGAACAGCAGATGGAAGGAGTGTGTTTGGAGTTCTACGTTGACTATATGTGATTTCGGATGTTCACCGTTTACATAGCCGACCAAATATACGGATTCAATAAACGGCACTATAAAAAGAATATTTTCCATTGATCAACTTTCCTTTTTAGAATTCATTGGATAAATATTTAAATAAACTTTAGTTAGTAAGTTAAACGACTTTCCTTTCTGTTATTTCAGTGGTTCCCCGCATGGATGGTTAGTGCTGGCACGGTGTCCATGGGCACACTGTGTTGTTTCAATCCTATTTTTTCGTACGTTAGAACAGTTGGCGTTGTGGTAGTTTAGCAACATCCTAATGAAATCGATTTTTGAATGGTTGAAAACGTTTTTATCTTATTTTCTTTATTTCATAGTTGTCAAGCTCTGAACAAACTGACAGTCGTCAATTTTTATTTACTGCCTACTAAATTTTAATGACGGGCGGGTGTGGCGCAGTGGTCGGAGGCGTCCTGCAACACACCCATGGAATCGATCTCCGTGCTCGTGGCCCAACAAGCCTTCCATCCTTCCGTGGTCAGCAAATTAGTACCAGACTTGTCTGGGAGGATAGCAGCACTGGCTCGATACATCGGTAGGCCACTGCGAGTTATTATAAAGACCGCTTCGGATATGGGGTTAATCGCGAACTAAAGCGATATTTGCCTCTCTGAGACACAGGTGGATTCGGGGGATGGACTCCTGTTTCTGCTCTGCCGATTTGGCATATACTTTCTGAATTTACAAAACGTATTCATGCACGCGTGTGTCGGTGCGTTCTAGTTTATGCAGATTGTATTCTACGAGTCAATTCGGCCGAAAGCCTGCAATCAAGTAACAGGCGAGCACACGGGAGGCAGTTAGGAGTCGCCTCCAACAAATAAGCACTATGTCCACTCTGGGAAAGCCTGGCAAGCTACTCGTGAGTATACCCAGCCCCCACGTTCACAGCCCAGCAAGCTGTACGTGTGTTTCAAAAAACTAAAACGGTAAAAGAAACGGGCCTCATTCCCCTGACTCCGAAAGAGACCTCAATTCGGCAGCGTTGATTAGGACGAGTACGGAGCGGTTGCTGAAATCTCATGACCAATGGAAGCTGCCTGGATTACAAAGAACTATGGTGACGATCTGTACGTGCAATGCACGTACACTTGCATCCGAGTCCTCGATAGAAGATTTGCTTATGCAAGCAAGAAGGATAAAATACGACGTCATCGGCCTGGCTGAGACGAGAAGATACCAGCCTTTCAACGCGGTCTATGACACCGGAGAAGAACTGTTCCTCGGAACATGCGAGAGTAGAGGAGTCGGGGGAGCATGCGTTCACGTCAACACGAGTTTGTCCACGAACATCGATTCATTCGAACGGCTTACAACCCGAATCGGACGTTTACAATTAAAAAGGCGTGGATCAATACAGACTTTGGCAATCCTTGTGGTTCACGCGCCGACATCAAACTACGACCAAAAAGAAGTCGAAGCGTTCTATATAGACTTGGAGAAATTCTACAAAGAAGACCGACCACACATTCTTCAAGGTCATCACTGGAGATTTCAACGCCAAGATTGAACCAAGAAGAGTGCCTGAGGAACGTCACATCCGGGACCCACGGATTAGAATGGAACGAACACGGTGAGCAGCTATCTGAGTTTATCATGGCGGCCAAGACAATCCTTGGTAACTCGCAATTCCACAAACCCCACCCTCATCGCTGGACGTGGGAGTCTCTCAGTGGAGAGTACCATAATGAAATAAACCACATCACATTAAACAGAAGGTTTGCCTAACCGATGTCGCTGTTTTGCCAAAATTCTACACGGAATCAGGCCACCGTCTCCTTCCTCCAAGATTCTATTCCTCGCGGAAAGGAGAAAAAGCCGCTAAATTCAAACACCGTCACAGAACCACCATAAACTGCGATTTATTCAATACGTTAGTCGGCTGTTGGGGAGATGCTGTTGTCAATAACATTGACGAAGCGATCAGCTCATTCAACATCTTCACGTTAGAGCTATGAAGGCTGAGAGTTCTAAAGTCGCCAGCAGACGTCTGTCTCCAGAAACACTCGAGCTGATAAGCCAGCGTGGAATCGCACGAACTGTAGGCAACCGCGAACTAGCGTCCAAACTTGCAAAACAATGCAGACAGGCGATAAAAGAAGATCTTAAAGAGAGACGAGCAGCAGTAATGTTCGAAGCTGCAGAGGCTGGGGAAAGCATTCGCAAAGCCCACCGAAGCTTCGCCAATTAGAAGACCAAAATGATTGCACTCTGGCGCCCAGACGGAACAGTTACAGCGTCCAGAAAGGCAATGGAGAAAATCATTCACGACTACTGCTCGGATCTCTTCGACAGCCACGCCCACCTTTCGTCATACGAAATAAAGAAGGATATTGTACCACCTCTCTGCCAAAACCCGGCAAATCGGTGAAAAATCGAACACCACCAGGTCCGGACAGGATAAGATCAGAACACTTGAAGAAGCTTCCGCTAGTCCTCGTAAACACACCGGCTCGGCTCTTCACACGTTACTTGTCTGAACGCAAGGTCCCTACTCAGTGGAAGACCAGCAACACCGAGTCATTGTTCAAGAATGGTGATCTACACGATATCGGCAGCTATCGCCCAATCTGCTTACTGTTTGTCGTCTATAAGTTTTCACTCCAGTCATCGTAAATGGGATCGACAGAACACTAGAAGGACAGCCGTGTGAGCAAGAAGGGTTTCGAAGAGGATTTAGTACGATGTACCACATCCACACGGTTAAACTGCTTACTGAAGTATCGCGAGAGTACACAGAATTGCTCTGTCTCCCTTTCATCGATTTACAGGCCTTTGATTCAGTTGAGATAGAAGCAGTTTTGGAAGACCTTGATAGTCAAGGAGTCCCTACTCAGTACATAAAGATTCTTCGTGAGCTGTACAAAAATTTCACAACCAAGATGTCACCATTCTATAACGATATTAACATTGACGTCAAAAGAGGAGTTAGGCAAGGCGATACCATCTCGCCAAAACTATTTACCGCCATCCTCCAGAACGTCATACGAACATTGGAATGGAATAATATGGGAGTGAAAATCGATGGTCCGCAGTTACATCATCTTCGCTTTGCTGATGACATCGTTCTTATAACAACAAACATTATCCAAGCGGAACGTATGCTTGCCGACTTTGATAAAACCTGTGGAAACATTGGTCTACGGCTAAATCTCATAAAAACGATGTACATGAGGAACGGGTTGGTTTACTGTGCCCTGTTCACGCCTAAGAGAACGAATAACTCTGAATGCTCCAGTTAGGTCAAACTTGGTCGGGAAATCAACATGATGAACGACCTAGCTCCAGAGCTGACCAGAAGGAAACGAGCGGCTTGGAGAGCTTTCAAGAGCATCGAGGATGAAGTGAAGAGAACAAACAACACCCGACTCCGTGCCCACCTTTTCAACTCAACGATATTTCCTGCCCTAACGTATGCGTCAGAAACCTGGTCGCTGCGTAAGCAGGATGAAAGGTCACTCAGCGTTATCGAACGCGCCGTCGAAAGGGCGATGCTAGGAGTATCCCGTTTCACACAAGTAAGGCATCGGATCCGAAGCTCCGATCTGCATCAACGAAGAAAAATCGAAGATGCTTTTCTGTACGCCAAACAGTCGAAGATAAGATGGGCCGGACAGGAAATGCGTATGAATGACAACCAATGGATAAGAGCCGTTAGTGACTGGATTCCTCGGGATGTCAAACGTACTGCAGGAAGACCATCGACCCCATGGTCAGAATTTTTCGCAAAGAGCCTTGAAAAAAGATATGATGCTCGACGAGTCGCGAGAGTGAGGAGAATCCACCGGACTACTCTTGCACGCGACAGGGAAAATAGAAGATTTACTGGCGCCCGCTCGAGTCACTCGACGATCAACGGGACCACAGGTGATGCAGGTAAGGATTGATGACTGCACCACCCCCCATCAAAAATCGATGCGACGTTATGGGTCCAGATTGCGTGTGTTTCCTGGCATTCCTACCTGCTATTCATTCTAGGGTTTTTGGTATTTATCCAAAAAGTTCTCAAGCAGGTTGCGCGTTGGTGGGTGTTTTGGTATCCTGTACGAATATACTGGCTTTCACATGAAAATTGTCTCCGCTGTGCTTTTGCATCCTATGCGTTCCTAGTCGGATACTTTGTCTTACTTATCGTTTGCCATCTAGGTGTTCTTTTACGGATACATAAAGGTCTGCCCGAAAGGAGCTCAGAAGGTTATATTGACTTGATAGGGACACGAATATACTGGCGAAACGGGCAGAGCTTTACGTATCCGTAAAAGAAAACGTCTAGCTGGCAAACGAAAAGCAAGAGAAAGTACCCGACTAGGGAGGCATGGAATACAAAGACATAGCGGAAACGATGTTGATATAAAAGTTACTATTTTCGCACAGGATTCTCAAGCACAAATGTGCAAAGTTCTTGACGCTTTGCGGATAAAGACTAAGAACCCTAGAATGAATAGCAGGTAGGAATGCCCAGAGTCAACGCGGTTTGGAAAGCGGCACATTTGTGGGTTACTTCTGTTTATATTGCTTTCTTATTAGTTAAGCCCGTGCAATCAACGTTTGTTTCAATTGAATTCATTGTAAAATAAAAGAACGTTGTATACCACACGATCAACTAGTGAACATGAAAGAGATTTCCCTTGCGACTTCTGCCCATACAAGCCATCGTTTCGGAGTTCATTTATGCTCTGTCGAAGTCTTTCCCATAGAATCAATTAGGTATTGCAAGTGCTCCCCAACGTAGTCAGATAGAGGAATCTTTTGTCGTAATCCAGCTTTCCAAAAATGTTTGACCCACTTAGAGGCCAATGATAGAGAACAGGACCTTTGTTGTCGGCCTGCAGAATTAGTACCGTATTTTTTCTTTGGACTTCTGCACACTCTTGTTACCTATATTCTGCTATGGTATATTGTTTGCTAAACGAGCAGAAAATGTTAGTTTTGTAAGTAGACAAAGGCGAATTAAATGAATAAAGCTGCAGCTTCGGCTTAACTATGTTCGATGACGATTTGTGCTTCCTAGATAATCTTTGTTGATTAGGGTCTGTTAATAGCACCGTGACAATGCAAAGCTAGTTAGGAGGAAGACAGAGTCGCGGTTAGTGCAGTCGATAACACGTGAGCACCAGAAAAAGTAATCGCGGGATTGAAGGGCAACTGAAGTTCCCAGTTTTGGTTATATCAAAGTCGAAATAGTTTATCAGATCAGAAAATTTTTTCCTGAAAAGTGCAAATGTTTTGCTCCTAACTTCGTGGTTGCATTTCACTGTTAGGTTTGCTTTACATGGTAGCTCTGCTTTCGTAAAAAATTGTCAAATGCCCCGTCATGATAACACTTTCCTCAAGTGAATCACGATTGTGGTTATAGTAGCAAGCAGTTACAACCCAAGAAACGTCATCTTGCCCATTTCGACGGTGATAACCTTTAAATGGCTTGGTCAAAAAAGTCTGTAGATGTTAAGATGTAGTGAAAACGTAGGGCGAGTATTTGTAAGTATGTGATAAACAATCCTTCAATGACCACTACCAGTATGGAAACCAGTGTTCAACGTCGTTGAGAAAAGGATAGTATCTAAATGGTTTTTGTGCAGACTGAAATTTCGGACCATCAACCACGAACAATCTAGGAAATTCAAAAAGAAAACGAAATATAATCTTCAAAAAAATGATTCCTACAAGGATTCATCCCCTAACAGACACATCTATCATTACCAAAGCACCAAAATGGAATTTCCACTGATAAGCAGGAATTGTTTTGATTTGAATTTAAAAGAAGGGCCGGTGTGGCGCAGTGGTCGCAGGTGGCCTGCAGCACACACGTGGAATCGATTCCCGCGCCCATGGCCCACCAACCCTTACACCCTCCGAGGTCGGGAAATTGGTACCAGATTTGTTTGGGAGAATAGCAGCACTGGCTCGCTACATCGGTAGGTCACCTCGAGTTATTGTAAAGGCCCGAAAGGTCCAATCACCTCCAAACGATTCTAAATGAAGTCGAATGCATGGCTCATCCAACAGGGATTGATCAACGCCGTGAGCTCTATGCTTTATCATTTATACCCGTCTACATATATTATGAGAATCTACGGAATTGAGCACTTTTCCCATTCGTTTCACTGCCTCGCATCATTCATTTCAATAGTCGAATTTCGTGTAGGCTAGACAGTAACTTGAAGAATTTGTTTCGTCTATGAATGCAGCACACGAATCTCCGTCATATCCCCAGGAATCTCGAGCCGATTAGCCGCCAGGCTACGTGGCGCATCGCCCGGTGGTGGATAGGGGGTTAATCGCCGACGAAAAGCGACCTTTGCTTCACCGAGGCACAGCTGCATCCAGGGGAAGGGCTCTTTGTTTCTGCTGCGCCTCAAAATCCAACGAAAACTGCAGTACCGTAAAATTAATTTTCGACATATCTAGAGACTACAAAAGCAGTTATAGGATCCATTAAGCTCTAAATTATTGAGAATATAATAAATCGGATCTCGGCATATGAGAATCCGCCGCGATTAGTCTGGTGTTGATGACAGCCGGCTGGAAATAACATCGAAAATGCGAAAGTCGCGTTTTTCGGGTTTTCGGCGGTTAACTCGTCCACGGTGACACTACCCGGCGTATGCGTTTGCAGGTGAGTGTGACTAGCTGATAGCTGGCTGTAAATAGCGAAAATCGGGCGAAAATGGAGGCGTGTTATAGCGTCCGGACGGACAACTTGTCCACATCGAGTGGGCGGTCGTTTTTCGCGAGACTTTCTCGCGCGAATCCCCCTCCCCTACCGCCACCCCCGTAGGGAGAATGGTCGTACTGATTCAATACATCGGTAGGCCACTGCGAGTCATTGCAAAGGCCAGATATGCATTCAATCACCTCCAAACGATACTTAAGGAAGTTTCGAATGTAGGATGCGTTCCTGAGGGAATGAGAAGCGTCCAGAACTCTTTTCTTTATCCTTTACGTATTTGTTTATGTACAGCTGATGTGCTCGTCCACATATATATGCAAATGTATTGGTGTTTAAATATATATATATATATATATATATTTATACTTGCACCTGTGTTAGGGTATATGGTGCGCGTGGAAACTGCTTGATGAAGCATTTATTCCAGAAAAAATTACGTGCACTAGCAGAAACCGCATGATTTCGGGCAGGCCAATTTCTTAAACTTGTCGTTGTAGTTGTCATCATTACAGAAGTCCCACTGCAGCAATTTAGTACACCTGAATAATTTTTTGAACCCTAAAAAACAGCTTGTGATAATGCTATAAATGAACATACAGGTTAATGTCTTTGCAGTTTTTGTTGGGCGTCTTAGTTGGGTGAGGAGTTGTCTCGTCCCCCTCAGTTTCCGTATCCACAGCACCCGTTCCAGTGGAAGCTGCAACAGTTCGTGTAGCAAAAGTGGTTACAGAACTAGTTCACTTAATGCAGGCATTTATTTCTACATTACCGATTCGATAACGCAAGACGGTTCTGACTTCGAAGAGCCTACTGAATGTAATTATAGGGACGATATTGTGCGTAGAGACCAAGGATGTTCCAGCAAATCTTGGAGAACAGAATCTAAACAGTACAAAATATCGGAGCCATAGATCATCTACGTTAGAGTTACTCATTCCCACGCTCTTACCTGTAACCAGTACGACGTTTATCACTTCCTGTTTTAATTTCAACTCCAGCATAATTGCAGCCATCGTTAGACACGCCGTGCGGGAACTCATCAAGTATCACCTCGATCGTTGAGCCAGCTGGCCCCTTGAAGATTATTTGTCTTAACACCAACTCTGCCAGAGGTTAATGCAGATATACCTTAATCCAATAGTGGCACATCGTAAACTCATCTTTTGCATTACGTG